TTTTCATTTTTGCGTAAATATGTTTTATTTATTCTCGCTGTTATATAGTTTTTATTATATATGTATATACATTTATTTATTTTTATTGTTGCTTTATTTAATTTTATTGTTTTATTTATTTTTTAAAATTGAATTGACGCGACGTCTAGAGTCCTGGTTTGGTTTCCGCGCTTCTTGGTTTTGGTCAAAGTTCAAGAAGGCGCTAGACGCATTCTAGGCGCTGACCCTTAGCCTAGCGCCTAGGCCAGCCTAGGCGTTCCAAAGTGTTTTTCTAGGCGTTTTGTATATATACTAATATACATATATTTATATTCTAAAAGAAAAAATAAAATAGTGGACTTAGATAGATAGAAAGGTTGGCTTAGAGAGATAGAAAGGCCCAAGAGGCAACAGTCTAGCCCACTATTTCATCCTTATCCCACTCTAGGTCTCCAACCATATCTATCTACTCGTCTCCCGCATGACGCTGCATCTTGGCCCGCATCCTCTCGACGCCGCAAGCCGCATCCGCTTTCTCCCGCATCACCGCCGCTGCCACCGATTCCTCTTGCTCTCCTCTCCGGCATCTCTCTCTCTCTGCTCTAGTGCGCGCCCGCCGCCGCCTGCGCACGCCCGCGCACGTCGCCGCTCGCAGCTCCTCCCCTACCAGCGACTTCCCACTGTGGCAATTTTTTGCACGTTCGTGCCTCGGCGCCCGCCTCCGCGCCGCCTAGCTACCGAATCGCTGCCTAGCGCCACCTTGCACCTGCATGTCCGCCTACCCCATAGGCCAGGTGAGAACCCATCGACTAGCGACTAGTCGTGCCATGGCGCGCCTAAGGCATCGCCTTTTTGAACTTTGGTTTTTGTGCCACGACTCTTGGTCTTCCCCTGGGCTGCTATATAAGCCCCCCACCATCTGTTGCTCTGAGTTGCGCCTCTTGTGTTTCAGCTTTCAAGCGTTTGTCTGGAGCTTCCTGTGCTTTCGGCTTGCGTTTCGCATCTTTCGGCAGTTTTCTTGCTTTGCTTTGGGCCGTTGATTCGGTAATTTTTCTTGTTGCCTTAGCTACTTCATTTTTCATCTTCTTCAATGTTTAGCATTTGTGATTTTGCCATCTCTTTAGATGGCACGCTCGGTAGAGACGTCTTTGTTGTTCGATTCTTCAAGTGGGAGCGATAACGACTCAAGGTATTCAAATCCAAGGACCTCCAGTGGTTGTGCCATTGATAGGACGAATGGTGATTCGTTAGGGACTTCAGCTGTCCAACAGTAGGCCTTCTGGCTCGTCCTGCCGAAACATGGATGGTCCTGCTAAGGATTCGTCTGGTGCTCATCCGGCAGATCCGGATGACTCTAGTACATCAGTACAGGTGTGGATTACGGATTCCGTTAACTCACCCGATCTGGCTCTGGTTGGAAATAGTTTCATTCTTGGACTGTCTTGGGTCACGCACAAGCAACTTCAGGACTTTGTCAACAAAGGGTACATCGCTCTGGATAGCTTAGGGCATTCTTAGTTTCGGCCTCCTGGCGTTGAGATTGTGCCGCAGCCTATGTCATATGAGGTGGTAGTATTTGGCGACTTCTTTGTTGCTGGCCTGCAATTTCCTCTTGAGAAGTTTGTTTTCGACATGCTGGAGTGGTTCGAAGTACAGCTGCATCAGCTAACGCTGAATGCTATCGCTTGGCTTAGCATTTTCGTCATGGCTATGAAGATGATGGGTTGCGAACTCCTGGCGGATACGTTTGCTCGGTTTTACAAAATTCAGCAATGCCGAAACAAGGTCCAGGATCCCGAAATGGGCAAAGAAGTTTACTCTGATTTCGGTGCTTATTTATTCGTCCTTTCTTAGCGGTGGCGCTGGTGATACTAACGTTATTGGGAGGGTGAGTTGGATCTAAAGCCAGGCTTTTGGTTTTTTGTGGTGTTTTGATCACATAGGATTTAGCCTTTTGATGTCATATCATCTTATTGACTTTCGGTTGTTTCTGCTTGCAGGTTGGATCGACTTCGCTGCCAATGGCTCCTAAGAAGATTTCGGCTGCTGTTGCTGCTGCTTTTGATGACGAACTATCCATCATCGACCCCCCGACCTTTGCTAGAGGGGCCCTGAGGAACAAGAACCATTGCCGTTCGAGAAGATGGCTTGAAACGCCAGAAAACTTTGGCGTCGCGGAAGCCTTCGGAAAACTTTGGCTAGCGGTAAAGAAAGGAGATCCTCAACCTCAGCGAGCGATAGGGCCGTAGAGCCTATCAAAGGTAAGACTCGATTCTACCATGAGTCCATTCGTTTAACTCAAGACATGGTGGAAGGCCAACTTTCAGGTTTCGACCACTTAGTTCTTGCGCCGAAACCAGGGGACTATGTTGAGGTGCGCCTATATTCGGGATCCAGCTCTTTAGGGGACTGGATCCTACGAAGGAAGAGTCTTACCGCGTTGCTCGTTCTCTAGGGGTTCCGTTAGATGCGCAACTGTAACACCCTTGGTGTTAAGCATCACTAAAATTTGATAATGTCATCATCATGCATAGTAATCATCCATGTTAGCTAATCATGCCTTGCATTCACTAAAATCAATGTTAATTTGTAGTAATGCAATGCATATGTGTGGTGTAATGAGCTAAAACCAAAAATCATTTTAAGGTAACTTTGTGACCTTCTAATTTTGAATTTCACCAAAATACTTGGGATTATGCCCTAATAAACTTTGAGGTGTAAAGTATGTACTTTACACTAATGTCAAGTGTAGTGTATGAATTACGTCCAATCCATTAAAATTTGGGCTTCAAATTTGAATTCAGAATTGGATTTCAGCACTTAACCAATTTTGGCTGTCTTGGATTTTAGTATTGAGTTCAACTTTGTGGGATTTATTAAAATGAATTTAATAAATAAACTTGTGGCATACAATAGTACCATTTCAAAGTATAAAGTTTGAACTGTGCCATGGTGCTATTAGTTGTGATGCTTGATTGATAATTAATCACTCATTAATTCACCAAAATGAGCTAGTTAACTGATTTTCAAAACCCTAACTGAAAGAGCCAAGTTCAGTTTCAATGTACCCCTGTTCTTGATCCTAGATCTCTCTAACCACTTAGAATTAGGACATGAGCCTTAAAGCAAAGTTGGAGATGGCATCAAGGCGAGCAACTTTTGTTTTTTTTTTTGAGATTTTCAAGTTTCTACTTGGAATTGGGAGAAAATAGGAGAGGAAGAAGACTGTTTCAATCGCTACAGTAGCCAGGAAGCAGCTGCCACGCAGCAGCCTGCTCACCTCCAGCCGCTGCTCTCGCTCACCGCCTTGTGCGCGCGTGACGCACAGCTAGTTCCGTGGATGGTTCCCAAGTAGCTGTTGGACGCCCAGAAGCCGCGACTCGTGTATCATCCTAGATGTTAAGAAGTAATTAAAATCTTGATCATGATTACCATCATGCATATTCATCAAGCATTGTGGCATAAATGCATCCCATGTTTCAATTATAGCATGTGTATGTGACATATGTGGTGTTTCTTTTGTTATATGAAATGTTAATAATAATAGTGTTTAAGGTTCTTTGTGATTTTATAGTTTAATAATTTGTTTAAACACTTGAGAATATGTTAAAATAATCTTTGTTGTATAAAGTGTGTGCTTTCATGTGGGATAAAAGTTTGTTTGTGTTTTCAAGTCAAACATGTCAAATTGGAACTTCAAAGATTGAATTCAAAACTGTTTCCAGCACAACCATTTTAACTAAGTCCCTGAAAATAGAACTAAAAGTTCAAAGTTTGATGATTTATAAAATGAATTTTCATGAATAAAAGTGGTGCAACTTTTGTGTCATGAATTGGTACTATGCTTGAGCTGTGTTAATCAACATTTGTTTGTGATTTCTGATCAGTAATTAACCTTTAATTAATTGTCTGAACGTGCTTAGTTGAAACTATTTTTGCAAATTATGAACTGAATCCAGTTTACAGTTTCATTGTACCTACTTTCAAAATTCAAAATCTTCAAAACGAGTGAGAATCAGAGCTTGAGATTGTGGGCAATGAGAATCAGAGCTTGAGATCGTGGGCAATGTTGGAGAGCACGTGTAGAGGAACAACTGTAGTTCTGGGTGACGATCGAGTTGTTGCACAGAATCTAGAGAAAGAGAGCGAAGAATATGGGGTTTCAGTCATGAATAGTGTCGCCATTGAAGCAGGTGCCACGCAGCTGCTTGCCGCCGTGGCCGCCGCCCTTCCCGCCGCTCCTGTGCGTGTCAGCACGCAACTGCCTGCATGGCGAGCTCGTGCAGGAGCTGGCAAGCCCAACAGCTTCACCCGTGCTCGTTTAAGGCAGCACCGGCGACCTTCTCTCCTTTTCTTCTCGCTCTGCAGCGCCGCTGTGCTCCCTGTTCGCCGGCGAAATTGGCCGCCGTCATCCTGCCTCCACCCAATTGCTCGTACCATCAGTGGCGGACCTAGGATTTGGCCAAGACTAGGGCCAAATCTTAGCGACCAAAAACCCAAAGCTACATCATAGTCTATAAGACCATATATATATATATGTATGTCACAGAAAACAATTATTCTCAAGCAAAGTTTGCAAGAAAAGTTCTTCAACTATACAATTAATAGCTAAGAAATATCATGGAACATTGAAAAATAAATACCTAGTGTCTAGTGACGCCCCTGATTTGGTGCATTCGCATCGTCCACTTCCTTGTCCTCAATAACAACTCCTAATAAGAAAAGGAGGAAGCAAAAAGGTTAATAAGAAAATAAGCAAGTAAAGGTTAATAAGAAAAGGAGCAATTTATGTAACATACTAGGTAACTTCTTCTTTCGGGTCTTCAATTCTTAGAGACACTATATTCCAAAGTTATCAACTCTCAATGGTTTAAATAGATAACAATAGAAGTAAAAAGCAGCATCCTTAGAGACACTATATTCCAACCAAGCACGATTTATGAACCATGTATCATGAAAACTCCTATTGTGACCATATATTTTCCTTTTGGGATATGCATGACCTTTTTGATGACAAGGACCTAACAAGACATACTCCTTTTTGCATCATCCCTAATGTTTGGATGCATTTCCTCAATTGGTTTTCGATAACCTGGATCTGCAATAATATCTTGAGGATTAAGGACATGATTGGAACCGCCCTCCTCCTCCACAAAATCAATATTTTCATTTCTAGTTTGTTCTACTGCAGGCAAACTAGTTGTAGCTGTTCTTACTTCCTCAGGTTGGTTCTGTGCTTGTGCAGCACTAGCTCTAGTCCTAATTGTCTCCTGTTCTGTACCTTGAGATTGCGGTTGTTGTTCGGTAGCACCCTGTTGCTCAGGAACTCGAGAGAAATATGAAACTAAAGTCCTGGTCCTCTTCATCTTGTATACTGTAATGAGAAATTAGAATCAAATGGTTGAAATTGGGAACTTGGAAATTAGAAATTTGGAATTAAATCAGTTTCAGATCCAAACGACCAAACCTATTGCAGCTTGCAAGGAAGGAGGGCAGGAGGCTCACCGGTCAACGTCAGCCGGTTAGCCCACAGCAGGCGGGCGCCCGGCACCCGGCTGACTGGCTGAGGAACAGAGGAAGGAGCCACCGGCCGCGCCATCGCAGAGCGCCTGCCTGGAGGGGCGAGGCTACACCGCCGCCGCCATGAGAGCGCCAGAAGCTGGAGCATGGAGGTCAAGGCCGGAGGCGAGCGAGCGAGGGCGGTGGGGTGAGGGTTGTCGGGGCCACCGGCGTAGCCCGGTGTGGATCAAGCGGAGTCACCGGCCGTGGAGCGGCGGTCGCGACTCGGGACTCCCCTACGCCTGCGCGACTCGCAAGGCCGAGCGGCTCTCTGTGACTCTGTCTCCATTGCTCACTTGCTCACCTAGGCTGCCTATGTTGTTGGATTGCTTGATGGAATGATGGGCCAAAAAAACTGAAGACTTGCTCCCTTTTACATGGGCCATGACTAGGGCCATGCCTGGGCTACCCTAATGCTGGGTCTACCCCTACGTACCATTAGCTTCGCCTTGCCCTTGCGCCTCTCCATGAACCGCTCACGCCGGCCCGCTCCACCGGGATCGCCCTTAGCGCCCTACTCGTCGCGGTGTCCGTAGCCCCACCGTGACGCTCCTCCACCATGGCCAAGACGTTTGGGCATGTTTTCCTTCCTCTTTTCCATTGTTCTACTTTCGCTTGGACACCATGATGCCCATCATCCTCTCTGTTTTGTTAGAAGCGCGCCGGAGCCACCAGAACGCCGCCCTCGCCATCACTGGCCACGTTCGCCTTGGACGGCCGCCGAGCTCCCATGGTCGCCGTCCATCCTCATCTCACTAGGCCGCCTCGGCTCGATCCAGCGCCGGCTCCATCTTCCCCACCTTGTGCCGCTCCTCCCCAGCTCCTTCCCTAGGTGCCTCCATCACCGTTGCGGTCTCACTGCGGAGGCTGCTACCACTGTTGCCGCTATCCGCATGGCCATGCCTCCTCGGGCCATTGTGGGGCAAGTCGTGGCCACCAGCGGGTGCACACAGGTCAGGGATTGCGCTAGCACCGCCTCTCGCCGCTGGTGATCATCCCTGACGGCCAAAATTGGTCCCACCGACCAACTTCACTGCTCCAATTCATGACCAGGGACTCGTGCTTCAAATAGAAGCTTTTCCACGGGGCTAAGTGCACATACCATGACTCATATGAACAGTGCGCTATAGGGTTTTTCTTTTTCTTTTCACCCATCGGTGCCCACAGGCTTGGCCCGAGACAGCTCAAGGTGGCCCGGCCTCGAGCGCCGGCGGCCATGCCCGCAGCACCTCCGGCGGCGGGGCGCTCCGACGACCACGGTGGCCAGGAAAGGGGCGTAGGATGGGCGGCGTGTGGCGGGAGGCGTAGCGGCAGTTGCCTGGGGCGGAGAAGGCCCGTATGGCAGAGAACGCGGCAACGGCGAGCTCGGCCTGGCCATTAATGGCGGCGGCATTCGCGCGAGTTCAAAGCGAGGAGGATGGAGAGCGAGTGAGCCAGAGAGAGCGGAGGGCATCCGCAATCGCATGGAGCATGAGGCACTCGGGCGACAGCGAGGTGGGAAGGCAAGGGCACGTGGCAAGGAGGTGGGGTGCTTAGCTCAGGCATGGTGGCCATGTCCCGGACACGCGTCGCCCATTGTATCATCGTCCATACGGCGTGCTATTGTATGGATGTCATTCGTTTGAATGGTAATGTATGGATCAATATTCCTCTACACCTAGGTAAGTTGGTGAGTGGCATGACCGCAAGATGTGAGCGTGCGGTCAAAGGGGAGAGGTAGTTTTGATACTTAAGTATATATCTCATATATATACGGAAGTTTTTAATTGTGGGTTATCTTTGGTATGGCTATAGATGCATATTCTATATGTATGTATAGACGTATTTACTTTCGTAGCTTTGATACGGAAGTATATATATATGGGTATATATATAGAAGTATTTAACTTGCAACCTAAAGCGTAGACTTTCATTTTTGCATATATAATTATGGGGTTGAAATGAAATGAAATCCTTCTATAGGTACGCTAACCACGAATACGTAGATTGAATGTAGCTGATGACTAGCTATATATCGAGAGAGTATGTGTTATGCCACCGACATAGAACGTGATTGCCGCCTTAGGCTTGCAATTTTGTGAGGACGAATAAGACGAGCATGCATCATGATTGTTGCTTGTGCATAAACATGCTCCTCTCACCATTGTTCTATTAGTGGATAACTTGTTGTAACCATATGGTCATGTTGTGCATGACTGAAAACTAATTTGCTAAATGTAAGTAAAACTTGTTTTGAAGAGTTATCCACCTACTCAGTAAAAAAAATAAAAGATAACAATACCTTACCACCATGTTTTGCATGATGTGTAGTGGTGTTGCTATAGGTGACTGCTTGTTATGTGTGAGCTTTGTGCTTAGTAATAGTCGCTTAAGCTAATTGGATTGGGTGTTTTGAAATGCTTGCTTAAGACCATGATGTATGTGTGGATGCTCATTATCTAGGTAGTGCCATAGCTCTCACCCCTTTTGTCCTTAGTAAGCATACGAGTGTTGAAGAGCGCTATCCTAGAACAGCGTCCAAGTTTTGATAATCTCATGGTTGTCGTCTCCAATTAAGTTCTCTCTTAGGACCCTGAGCCTGTACACGTGGTTGCTAGCCCTTGAACATTGCGCTACGAAGACCTATATCCATGCCTTTGCTTGACCTTAAGCCCAAGCTTAGTTCCCTTGAATGCTTGCATGTGTCGTGGTTGTCTCGCTCCTATGTGAGAGGACCCTGCTCAAAAATCCTTGTCGGACCTCATTGCTCCTTCTCCTACAGATGATTTGGTGCAACGCTAATCGCTATCTACCCTGACTTTGGAACCTTTTCCTCACAGATCATGTCATTGCTTTATCAACTGAATCCCTAGTTAGTACATTGGCTCTGTCCCTCGAATCTCGTTTGTTTTGTCTCCAACTCTTTCAAGTCTCTAAATGTTTATCAGTCTTGATCTCATGTTGCTGCTCGGCAAGACCAAATCTCATGTTAATCTTTATCTAGTAATAATTTTTGTGAACACAAGGCGTATATGGAAATAAAGCAAGAGTCCCCTGCTCAGTTGTCTTCGGCAATTAAGCTATGTTTCTCTTGTGTCATGTCTTTACCTTGGACTACCCCTTGTTGACTCCTAACCTTGTGACTACCTTTGCTTGCTATCCCTCCTTCGCATAGTGCTTGCTCCTATGCAACCCAATTTGTGCCACGTGAGATTTCTTGTAGGTTGTATGTTCATTAATGGTGTCTTGGTTAATGACTAATGGTGCCACAGCAAAACCTAGGGCCTCCTTGTGGTCGACCGGCACATGGTTGTGCTACTGGGTGCGTGCTGGTATCGAGGTTTCTAGTCATGATCCATTATGGAACTACACTGATGAGTTATTTTCTCATGAGCTTTTTCCTTGGTTATCTCTCCTTATCTTGTCAGAAGATATGTATGTCGAACCATATACAATAGGACTTCCTTCTAAAGTCATCCAAAGGATAGCCTTTGAAGAATAGGTCACTAACATAAACATTAACATACTGCAAGAGGTGGTAGAAAAGTGACTCTACTTGACTGTTCTTGTAATGACGTCGGTCATCTAGTGAGCAACTTATGTCATCCTCGTTGGATCAGAAAGGTGCACCACACTTAAGGTTGAACAAGTTATCAGTTGGATGATAAATGGACCGAGATATTATGTGCTGTAATAGGTCACCTGGTGCTCATGAGCTTCCTGTTCAAGTTCTTGATCTTAGGTGCAAGATGATCATGCAGTCAAAAACCGACCTTCTTTGCTGACTTCCATGGCGACTGTCCGTTTACACATCAACTACAATTGTTGCTGTTAAAAAATAAGTTTTGAAGCTTTTTAAGTGTTGAGAGACAACTAATTAGTTACTAGTAGAAAGGTTAATTACTAGCTAGGTAATGACTCTTTGGTAGCTCCGAAGGCTATGTCTCACATGACAATGCTAAGGGAAGAACACAGCAAAGCCGGTCAGCAATGCAAGTCTTGTTTTCTTCTTCAAACCCTATGCTATCAAGTCAATTTCCATCTTGAGCAACAACACAGATAGTACAATATGCTGTATCAGCTAAGTAAAGAGCTAGAGAAAGCACATCCCTAGTTTCGTCAGCATCGTTATGTATATGATTCTATCAAAGGATTTGTTTAGGACTCTATTGGATAAAGCACAGAAGGGTAGTTAGCAACGGTCCCTTATCTTGTAGGACTGCCCCTCCATGTGAAGTATGCATTGTGCCCTGCAAAAACAGCCCACCAGTCCAATGCTTGTGCATCGTTGAGTTGGTGCCAAAATCAATGGATGAAGTTGTTCCCTGGGAAGCATATGAGCAAAACCCTAGCCTCCATCCTTAGCGAGAAAGCTACCGCTGTCATAAAAAGAGTTAAAAACTACGAACACACTTCCCACTATGTAAATAAAAAAAAAACGGGAAATATGTCGAGATTTCATGGCAGTAAACCGGTTATCTTTAAGCTAGTGATTAGTGGCTCAAACATGGTTGAATTCACACCAAACTTGGTGATATCATTCCTTGCTTAAGGTACTTCGATGTCTTAAGTTGGTTTGAGGATTGATTGAGTAAAACATCGGATTTGAGAGATGTTTTGACAGTTCGGTCCCAAAATTTTAGAACAAAGCAGTTTTGATAGATGATTTTTTGGATAGTCAAACGCTGTCCGTTTGAGCTGAATTTTGGTCAGTACTTAAAGGACTCTTGGATCTAAGTGCCTACCAAAATTTGTGCACAATGGAGCCGTAGTTTGTGAGATATGAACTAAAAACCAAAGTGTACAGAATCTGCGATTTCTCTGTGGACTGCTATCACCCCTCCAAATAGAAGGTTGTGTTTGTAATTGATGCCAAGATTAGCAACAGGGTCAATGTTTTGCCGTTAGATAATACTTTAGATGCCCTAGAGAAGACTCCTTGAACCCACTTTGTGCCTAGCTTTTACCCTCTCATATCAACAATGCTTGAGCAGCCAAGGTGTTCTACAAGTCAATTTGTACCATTACGAGTCAAAAACAATTTGAAAAGTGTCAAACAAC